TTTTTAAATCCATATAACTTCTTAAATATTCATCCTAAATATTAACTATCTTATATCAATTTGTAGCTCATGTTACGGTCTACAACTTTACTTATAACATCAACAAATATTTACTTGAACTCGAATCAAACTTTTTGTCAAGTTTGAGTCTGGTTCGAAATTCGAACTGAACTTGAACCAGACTTTTAATTAGGTTCAAATTTTTGAACCGGACTTTTCGTCAGGTTCAAGTCCGGTTCAAGCTCGAACTGAACCAGACTTGAACTGAACCAGACTTTTTTTCAGAACTCTAGCTGCAATATAGTCCTGTTTAAATTGTTAACTAATCTAAAATACAATATAAATTAATAACTAGTTATGATATAATTAAGCCTTCAAGAAAAACAAATAATAAAAAACTACAAAGTGATTAACAATTGTGACTGATTCAGAATTAAACTACAACTAATTTTATAATGAGATTGCTTAATTTATTTTTTAATTGCATATTGTTATTAATATTGTTGAACCAAATTGAATTATATAACAAAACAATAAATACATTATTACAGCAATTAATTATCTTATCAAATGGTTTAAAGCTAAAGCTATATCAATAAAAAAGTCTCTAAAGTTGCAAAATTTATTTATAAAAATATTATTGTCAGTATAAATATTCAAAAATTATATAATTAAATCAAGAAACTGAATTTACAACAAAAAATTAATATAGAAATTCAATATTTAATATAGATTTTCTATAATATATTACTTATAAACTAATAAAATTATTGAATAATTCAATAGAACTTTAACTTTGACATTACAAAAATAGATTATAGTATAAAATTTCAACAAGATTGAAATATAAATATTTCTGCAATATTATTCATCTATAAAATACTTCAAAACAGTACAATAAAATATAAATCATTTTTTTAATATATAAAAAATAAGTTAGATTACCAATTGAATTACAATTCAAAATATTTAATAAAATACTAGTAAAATTTAAAAAATAACTATTTAGTCAAATATATAAATTAGTAAAATATTTGCCAAATGAAATACAAAGTATACAGATTAATATATAGCTTTTACAAAAAAATTTAAAGAATAGTATAACAGTAAATTACCAAAAATAAAATTCTATTATATAATATAAAGTAATATGTAAAATATAATAATAAATTTCAATATCAATGACACAAAGATTGATTCTATATTCATAAAATATTTTTTAATAGAATATATAAATTACATAATTAACTTGAACAAGTTTTGAAAAAGAAATTTTATAATAATTAATTAAAAAGATTTTATAATAAATAATTTCTATTTATTTCTAAAATTATCATAAATTTAATTAAATTCTCTATTATTTTCTAATTAATAATTTTATTTTTTATATTTTACCTTTTTCATTTGCATTTATATTTTTATCTTAATATCTTAACTCTTATTTTTAATTCGATTTTCTTCAAAATTTTATAAATATCTTACATTTTTTTTTCATTTTTTCTCTTAAATTAAATTAAATTTCTTTTAATATAATTTTGAATTTAAATATTATTCTTATCTATATATTTTTATATTTTTTATTCTTCTTATTAATTATATCTTTATTTATTTGAATTTTATTTCAAATAAAAGGATACTTTGACAAAATATTTGAAGAATTGATATTATTTAATTCACAAGCTGTAATTACCTTTACAATTTATAAAATAACTATTATTAAAACTGATAATATTTCACTTTAATTAATAAATTAGATCAAAATCAAATATTATTAACAATTTTTAACTAATAATTCAGAATATTTTAATTATAAATTAAAATATCAAAAGAATCAGTAGTTAATTTCATCTAATTGTTGAATAAATCATTTATTAATGAACAATCTATAATAAATATAACAATATTAGATATTAATAATCTCAATTTTAAAAAAGACAAAATTATTAAAGCAAAAGAAGCAAATAATAATATAATTAAAGTATTAAAAGAATTAATTAATTCTGAAACTTAAAAGAATAATTTAACTATAACACTTTGAAAAATATATATTATAAATATGAATCAAATTAAAAGAATAATTCTTTATTACAAAATTGAAACTTGAATAACTAACTTATTAATCAAATTCAAGTTTAAATTATTTAAAATTATAGAAGAAATCAATAAATTTCTTGAATTTAAAACAAATAATAAATTATATTTTATAGTTTAAAATACTCACAACATTTTTTAGTAATAAAAAATAAATTTATTAACAAATAAATTCTTTCAGTATTTATAAAATTCAATAAATGACAAATATTGAAATTAAAAAATATAAAAAAATCTTTAAATTTTACAAAACAAAATTTTTTAATAATAAGTTAAATGTTATAAATTTTAGTAAAAAAATTTGTTAATTAAAAAATATATTAAAATTAGTAGAAAAATATTAGAATAATAATAATAATTCATAAATAGTTATATAATTATCTTTTATTTTATCAAATTTCTTATTATATTTTATCTATTTAATATTTATTTTTTTATATTTCTTTATATTCTTTTTGATTTTTTTATTTTTTTTAACTCTTTTTATACTTTATTTTATCTTTTTATACTCTTCTTGAACTATTTATATTCTATATAATACCTCTTTTTAATCCTTTTTTATTCTTTTATATTTTCTATCCTTTTCTATCTTTATTCAATATAGATATAATACTCTTTATTATTTTGTAATACATAATAAATTTTAATAAAGATCAATTTGATCCAGTAAATACTATAGAGAGATTTAACTATCTTTATATTATTTTAATATAATTGAATACTTCAACTCTAAATAAATATATTAGTTTTAATCATTTTGATTAATATTGTTACTGTTAGTAGTCTTTATGAATGATCTTTACTATACAGTAAATAGTGACTATATTCATGTAAAAAAGCATGAAAGATTGAACAAAGTATGAAATAATCTTCTAATATTATTATATATTAGTCAAAATGCTAAAATGATTCACAAAGAATCTAATAAATTCACTAAAAACTTTAAAAATAATATAAGTTTTTAAGAAAATAGAAGTGAGTTTACCAAGAACTAAAAGAGTTATGAAAGGATTATAAAAGAATTTATAAAAGATAGAACACAAAGTTCTTTAATATATGAGTATTACTTCACCAAGAAGTAATCTAGATTCACCAAAGATTGATCACGCCAAATCTAAAAGTAAAGATGCGAACAGTGTTGTTATTATGAGTTATTTTGTGTTTGGAGAGGTCGTATATAATCATTACAAAGAGCAGGCCCTAGTAAAAGCCGAGGTTAGGAAACAGATTCCTGAAGAAGTATCAGACGTTGCCTTGCGAAAAAGCACTGAAAGAGCTCGAAAGATGTATAAACTTTTTAGTACTATAGGTGAACAAAAAATATCATGTTAAATCTAACCAAAGATGATATCGATTATGTAATTGTTAAAATTTTGAAGCAAAAAAAACCTGAATGATTACGTGTATTATCAAAAACTGCGCCCTTGTGACAAGCTCAACAATACGTATTATTAGTCGATACATCCCTTAACCAGGCGATCATTGTATATTACCCCTCTTCACACGCTTTTTTCTTGTCACCTTGATATAGTATTCGATCGATTGAAGATATATATTTTTATATATAATCACATCTTGACTTCAGCTATGCCGAACCGACTGAAAAAAATTAAAAAAGGAGTTAGCAAAAGAGTTAAAAAGTTCTGTGGAAAGAAAGGTTTTGTTGCTGTCAAACATAGTATTTTCAGAGTTATATTATACTCGAACACTTTATTCGCCGTAGCTAGACCCTGAAACTACAGCTCCCACCGAAGAATCGGTTCAAATTGCCAGCATCTCTATAATATCTACTCGCGAACCTGACCAAAAATCATCAACAAATATTCCCGATCAGCCTGAGACTAACGTCATGGCTCAAAACACTCAGGATACCACGGCTGAAGACACTACAGCTCAAAACATTACAAGCACACTTGACGCCCTTCATCTTGATCCTCCAATCAATTCACCTGAAACTGTGGAATCCCTTCGTGCGTATGAGAAAAGGCCAGGTGATACACAGAAGTTTTTAGGCACAAAGATTTTATGCTTTTACTATTCTGTTGTTTTTGTTTCCTTAACTAATATCTTTGCAGATCGCATGGGAAATAATTTCAGGTGGCCCACTTCGATGCCTGATATCACCAGAAGTCAGGTCTTCTGGGCTCTTACCGATGATTCTGGTAACGTTCTCGAAGGTGACCGGGAATACGCACTTAATTGCATTTACTTCTATGACAGTCTCGACAAGGGCATGTTTGATGGCCATGAAAAAGACTGGGTACTAATATACGAACAAACAGTGAAGAAGTATGAGTCAGAAGAGTATACGAATCAGCAACTGGGGGACCTCGATGAGGAAATGCCTGGTGCCCTTTACCTTCCACTTGATCCAATACTTCGCGAAAAGTACGTTAATCCTTACATTCCTCCAGCGAGGGCAGTGCTTGCTCGGCGCAATAATTATGGAGAATACCTGGTCTGAACAAAGTGATTGTTTTAATGCTAAAAGAGAGTTAATTCACTTTTAATAAATATTATTATTAAAGATCAAAAGAGTCGGAGCGGGGGATGAAAGTTCAGTCAAATTTGGGTATCAGTTTAATGAAAAAAACGATAATGATAAGCTATACAAAACCTTTATTGATACAGGTGCTCCAGAAACGGTATTAGCCTATAACGTTCGTCGAAGCCTTGGAACAAAAGGGTGGCTGAGGCGTTCGGGTCATGCTACTGGGTATGGAGGCCCTGCTAAATTATTTTTGGCCCGTGATCCATTTGCAGTGTCTATCGAAGAAAATAATAGTTGGACCCATTGGGTCCAAATCAATACGCTTCGAGTCTGGGAAGCGTTTCCTGGTGATCAGATGGATTCTTCCCTGGTTGGGGATGACGTGTTAAAGCAATTGACCTATGTGCACCTAGTGATTCGGGCTAAAGTATTTAGCACCAAATGATCTGCAAAAAATTTCTAAATTAGGATTTAGGACATTTAGGATACTTTAGGACTTATACGATAATTCAAAGTCCGAAATATTTAGGACTTTGAAAAGTACTTTAGCCCGAATCATTATGTGCACCAGCAGGGAAGAGGACTTATGTTCCTGAGCTCGCGGCATGAGCCTCATTTTTAGATAACCTATCACCCTAACGGTTAATCCAGCCTCAAATAATGTGTAATAATACCCTCCTGCTTGCGGACTCTTACCTTCAGTTTCTTTGACATGTAGTGTCAATACTTGCATAAACCCAACGTAAAATGAATTGGTTGTGTTGCATGAAATCACACAAATTTGAGTTAGCGTAGATTTTATTTTTCCCGGTTGTTTTACGGATAAATCGACGCGATATCTGTATATTCGGCACTTCGTGTCGGCTTACCCAGAGGCAAAAGAATAAATCATAGTTCTTGGCAAAAGCCGTGACGATCAGAGTCATGTGATTTTTAATAAACTTTTGAACATATCCGCATCTTGTATAAACAATGTCAGATACTCAATCAAAAATCGATTCGTTGCAAGAATTAAATTCTCAACTCATTGCCACAATTGCTGAACTTAAAAAGAAGAATGCCGAGATCAAAGCTGAGAATACAAAATTGAAACAAGCTATAGAAGAAAATGCTGAGCTCAAGATCAGATTCGAGGAGCTAGAAAAGAAAAATAAAATACAAGAACAAGAATTACAGCAACAGATTGCTGTGACTACTGGAGGTAATAATTCAGCTACGCTAGATGAAAACTCAATACAAAATATTGACATTTTTATCAATGATTTATCTCCAGTTTCAGCGCAGACCATAGTATGCATATTTCGAAAAGCAATTCGATCTGGTCAAGATACAATTTTACATTGGTATCACTTTGCTGGAAAATATGACAGAAGAATAGATGAAGTTTCTGTTAGTAACAAAGTCGGTAAGCAACTAGCTTAGTGTATCACGAAATTAAACAGCTTCTACCAGACATAACAGATGTGAATTTACGACATAAAATTCTCAAAGCTAGAAAAATTAGAACACTTTTTAGTGCAGTAGGGATAGAAAAAATTAGACAAGTTTCATCTAGCGCAAATGCAATTTCTAGCCTTACTTATATACAAATCCAAAACATCATAAATTATGTTAACGAACAAACTTCTACCTCTATCCCATTTTCTCATACCTCTAATTCGGAAGATATTATAAGTGAGGATGACAAATCATCGCTGGAGACTGAGGTGGGTATACCTATCGAATCTCATGCTCCCCCAAAAAACAATCCCGAAAGTATATCATCTAATCCAATTCATGACCTTGTTTATTTTCGCAACAAAACATTGGAGC